GTATCCATGTTTTCACAATATTACTTCCCATAGTGTTTCATTTTTATTGAGTCATCAATTTATCAAAATTAATTTTATATCATCACTATTTCAATAAATCCCCAAATTAATTATGACATATCCAAAATCTCAAAATCATATTTGATTTCATTTAACTTTGTTCATGCCAGATGGCTCTTCATATTTGATAAATATTTCCCATAATCAATAAGATCCCAAATCAATACCCAAAATCCAATAATTATTCAATTCATTTTTCATTTGTACCAAATTAACTATTTCGTATCTTTATTATTTTATTCCTTTTTCCAATTCATTCATTACGCAATTTTTCTTTTTCAGCAATTATAATAATTCATTCAATATCAGAACCATTATATAATCAAAACTCATTCATTCCAATATTCCATAATTTATTTACCATCGGGACCCGGATTGAACCAGATTGAACCTCTAAATCGTATCTGAACCGTAACCGAACCGCTATAATTATTTTTTTGAAGGAGTAAAAAAACCTTTAGAAAAAAAGTTAACCGGTTTAAACTGGTTTCAGCAAAATAAAATAAATGATTTTACATTTTATTACATTCTTTTTTTTGTGTTAATTACACATTTTACCATATCTGCGTCGTTATTTATAATTATTAAATGATCAAAATATTTGTTTAATATCCATAAGAGGTATGTATTAATTTTTCACCATTGCTTAAATTGATCCACAATCTTTTAAGCTTCATATAGTATTAAATAATTCCTATTTCATATATTTTAGTAGCAAAATATCTAAATAACCAATTTTTGATCTAGTTGTATTTAATTAATCTAAAAAATCATCAGTTTTATATATTGGGAATCAAATAAATTTGAATATCGAAAATTATATGCTCTTATAGTACTTCTGGTTCCATTTGTGTTATCGCCATAACGAACAAATATGAATCCACTTATATTAGAAATATGTTCAAATAATATATTTATAATGAGTTATAATTTTTTATATTTTTTTATATATTACTCATAGATACTTATAATAAATATAAATTAATAATCATATATTTTATAAATAAACAATTTTTTTAGAAAAATAGAATATATACTACACTAGATACCTCGGCATATTTTTAGAATTTTATTGAAGAGAAGACTCGACCCATAAATTCAAAATCGATTTTGTAATTTTATAATTAAAATGTAATTTTATTTAAATTTTCCGGATCTAATGCAGCGGAATAAAAACTTTATTATTAACTTAAAGTGATGGCAAAATTTAATAAATAACATTTATGATTAAAATCTTTATACGATAGTGTTCCTTCAATAAAAATAATTTAAAAATAATTCTAATCGTAATGAACATTTACATTTAGTTGATTCGAACCGAAACTTTATAAATTTTTACTTAAATATCGTAACCATTTTAATATATGCTTATTTGTTTTTTAATATATATTTTTAATTATTTAGTATATATATATATATATCCTATTCTATTCTATTAAATAAAGAAATATATTAATAGGACAAATATAAAAAAAAAACTTTTGATATGAAAAATAATCAAATCAAACAATTGTGATATGAATTTAGCAAGGACCCGAACATTTATTTATAACAGTTCATTTGGTTACGATTAAAGTTTGTAAAAAATTATAATACAATCACTTCAAAACATATTATAAATTTATAATTTAAAACTTTTAAATAAAAATTTTACCTTTTTTTTTAATTGACTAAACGTAAAAGCGAAAGTGTTCCTCAAAGACAAAGAAAATATTCAAAATTCATATAAAATAAAAGGAACATCATATACTAGGATTTACAATTTTTTATATATTTATTCACGAACAGGGTTGCCAGGTCAAAATTTTCAAATTGTGGGAGAAATTAGGTATTTTGTAAGAGAAATATAAAAATTGTGGGAGAAATTGCTAAAAAAAAATTTTTTGCAGGCCTTCGGCCTGCAAAGGACCGGGATTTAGAATTGACTTAGTTATCCACTTATTATTTTTTATAAATATAAAATCTAATCTATTTTCCAAAATAAAATAGGTAATTATTTTTCAAAATAAAATAGCTAACTTTTTTTAAAATAAAATAGCTAACTTTTTTTCAAAATAAAATAGCCAACTATTTTTCAAAATAAAATAGCCAACTATTTTTCAAAATAAAATAGCCAACTATTTTTCAAAATAAAATATCCAACTCTTTTTCAAAATAAAATAGCCTAACTATTTTTCAAAATAAAATATCCAACTCTTTTTCAAAATAAAATAGTTAACTATTTTCCAAAATAAAATACCCAACTATTTTTCAAAATAGGTAATTACTGTACGACACAAAATTTCTTAGAGTACTATCTTTATTATTAAAAAAACATATTGATTTATTATAATATATTAATTTTGTTTAAAAATAATAACCAACGATCTTTTTTAAATACAAAAGAATGTAAACAAGATAAAATTTTATAAAAAATTGTAATTTTACAATGTAAAAAAATAAATGGGGGAAGGGAATATGATATTTTGAGGTATCAAAAATCTTCAAAGCATAAATCAGTACAGGGCATTCTATCAACATCTATTTCAAAACAAAAATATTCTTCAAAAATAAGAAATAATATAGATGCAACTACAGTTGCGGAAATGGTAAATACCTATCATGCAGTACAACATTCAGAGAGTTACTCAACATCTCAATGTTGGTAGAATCTTTCCCCATAATATTTAACGACTAATATAAATGAATAGAATACTTTGTAGAACACAAAATGAGCAAGGCTATCAACAATGTTTTAGGATATAAATCCAGAAGGTCAATTCTTGACGATTTGAAAGATGTGCAAACATATGCAATTCTAACAGATGCATCTAATAAGGAGATATCAAAACATTTCCCTTGATCCTCACCTATTTCAACAAAATTAATGTCATTTTAATAAAACTATTAAAAAAATTTTCTCCAGATATGAAATATCCAAAGACATAGCTAACCATATATAATGGTAAATATGACAGATTTGGCATTACCAATGAATTGCATGGTAGCTTTCTGATCTGATAATTCCTCAGTGAATTTGGCAAAAACCAGAGTGTATTTATAGAATTGAGTCAGCATAATGTTGGTTGACAGGTTCCTCCTAATACGCGCCATCGTAGAATTTTAAAATACAAACCTTTAAAAAATAAATAGATTATAAAAGCTGTCCTATTTGAAAATAATTTTCAAAAATAAATGGCAGAAGTATATTTAGGAATTTTACATATAGGAAATCTACTATATGCTGTTAATATGCAGTTGCAATCAGAAGAGTATAATTTAATAAAGGCTCACTAAATTATGCTGCAGAAATACCAAAGTAAGAATATTACTATTATCGGATAATTATTAATAAGATTTAATATGATGTCATGTTTGAGGAGATTGTAATGCTTCTTTATTTTTATGATTTGCCAAAATATTCAAAATATTAATTTTACAATGTAAAAAATAAATTTATTTGATTTTATGCAAATGTATAAATAAGATTTTATAAAATATAGAAAGTCAAATAGTTATAGTTAATTATATTTTATATGAGATTTAAATAATGGAACTAAACGTTTACCGTCGTTATTAAGATATTTATAAAAATCCTGGCATGACATTTTATAATTTTGTTTAACCATTAACTCGGCCTCTTAGTATATCTTAAGCTTAGATAAAAGATGATTAAGATAATAATATTTTCTAAGATGAGTTCCACTTTCATTGCTAATTTTTAAAATTATTACTTCTAATATTAATAATATATTTTTTAATATATAATAGTACATAAGCAGTTTATATTGAAAATAATTTTTCTTTTTATATATTTAATTATAACATTTTATTGTCCAAAAAACAACATCAGTATTGGAAACTAATGCTTTAACCTCAAAACAATCTAAATCTCACCTAGAAGATAACTATCATGGTATATATAAATAAAAATATAAAATATGTATAATATTTAGGATTTTTTAAGCTTAGATTAAAGATGATTAGGATAATAATATTTTCTAAGATGAGTTCCACTTTCATTGCTAATTTTTAAAAATATTACTTCTAATATTAATAATATATAATAGTACATAAGCAATTTATATTGAAAATAATTTTTCTTTTTATATATTTAATTATAACATTTTATTGTCCAAAAAACAACATCAGTATTGGAAACTAGTGCTTTAACCTCAAAACAATCTAAATCTCACCTAGAAGATAACTATCATGGTATATATAAATAAAAATATAAAAAAAGCACTAGTTTCCCATAGTATTCTAACTTCAAATTTTGAAAATGTCAAATTGATTGGATTGGATGGAGAATTTAAAATTAGCGGAAAAATAAAATAATAGAACTAGACATATTTTTCGAATAAATATTTAAAATTTATTTTAAAAATATAAAAATAATCAAATACTGTCTCTCAAAATTATTATTTATATATTAAAAACATTAAAATGCTAATAAAAAAATTGTGGGAGATTTTTGTGGGAGATTTCTAATTGTGGGAGTTTTGTGGGAGTGAGATGTATGTGGGTAAACTAAAAAATTGTGGGAGACTCCCACTGATGGGGGGAGGCATGGCAACCCTGTTCACGAACCACTTTGAACATTCGTTTTCAACGCTATGATATTGCAATATTTTTTTATAATAAAGAATATTATTGAGATTATGAATTTTTATATTATATTTATTAATATTATTCTATTTTTCTTGATAATAAAAATTACGTTTCAAATTTTGAATTCCCGCAATACATTAGTGATCTAATATTATTCGAATTCGAAATGATTGATACTTCTTTTTTAAATATCTTTTATTTTTTTAGAGCTATTTATGATAATTTAATTAAATAATATAAATTTGTTAAAACAGTAAATAAATAAATTAAATTCAAAAATTTGAGAATAAATAACAAATATTTGAAAATTTATCTAAAACATTTTTACCAAAAGGCAAAATAAAGAGTAAGCAATCACTTTGCTTTCGGATAACATTTAATCAATTTGCATTAAATAAAATTTTAAATTAAAATGACTGGTCGTGGAAAAGGTGGAAAAATTAAAGCTAAAAAGTCATCAAGATCTGATAAAGCTGGGTTACAATTTCCAGTTGGTAGATTACACCGATTATTAAGAAAAGGTAAATTTATATAATAATAATCTAAAGTCAAATTTTTTAAGGTAATTACGCGCAAAGAGTAGGTGCTGGAGCACCTGTGTACTTAGCTGGTGTTTTAGAGTATCTAGCGGCAGAAGTATTGGAACTAGCAGGTAATGCAGCTAGAGATAATAAAAAGTCTCGCATAATTCCAAGACATATACAGTTGGCTATTAGGAATGATGAAGAACTAAACAAACTTCTAAATGGAGTCACAATTTCACAAGGTGGTGTTTTGCCTAATATTCAATCTCAATTATTACCAAAGAAGACCCCAACTGAAACTGGTGGTAAAGCCAATACTCAATCTCAAGAATATTGAATTATATAATTAATATTTTTTGATCATGTAAATATTTAGATCTTTATCAATAAAAATTTTTTTAAATTTCTCTAGTTTTTATTATTTGATTGATTCCATACAGGTAAAGTGTTTGCTTTACTGATGATTTTTATTTTACTTTGTATGACAATGTTTTTGATTCAAAATGACAAAAATATTTTCCCATTCTCACTTACCAAAATATATCTAGGCCTGTTCAATCATAAATTGAATAATTAATTATTTGTATTTCTTTTGAATAATTTACTATTCATAATTCCACAGTTTAATATTTGATCAAAAATTTTGCCCTTTAAAGATCAACAAAATTGAAGATTTTTTTTTCAAAAAATATTTATTTTTTCTAAAATATCCTTTATTTGTGAGCAAATCTTTTGGGATTTTTAATATAATAAAATCTTTTTTGAGCAAATCATTTGTGATTTTTTAAAAATAAAATCTTCTAGCTATAAAGGTGGCAATTAATTATCATAGTACCAATTGTTTATTAATAATTTGAATATGTAAAATCATTATTTAAAAATGTTTTGAATATTCATCTTAAAAATTTTTGAAATAATTTTAGTTATAAGCTTGAATAAATATTTTGAGCATGTTTCAATGATTGCAAAACCTATCAAGGTGATAATTGTCATATACTCATTCATCTCTGAAATTTTTAAATTAATATTAGTAAAATAGGCTTAAATAAATATTTTGATACAATATATACAACATGTAAAGGTGACAATTTTCATAATACTCATTTCATATTTTTTAAAATTAAAATAAGTAAAATGATTATTTTTAAATGTTTTGACATAATTTAAATGTATTGGTATTTAATGTACTACAAAAGTGACAATTGTCATGATACTCAAGAATTTTTAAAAATAATTTTAGTTAAAATGCTAGAATGAATAATTGTTGGAAAACACTTAATCTTATGTGTTGATAGTAATATCATATAAGTTGACATATTTAAATGTAGTATAGTCTGGATGGAGTTCAGCTAGAAAGTATATCATTATAAAGATCAGATACCTGAGCCCAGGGATGTGGCAAAATTTTTGCCCATGTTAGGTTAAGGTTAAAAAAATAAGTGGGTTCGGTTCAGGGAAATATTTTTGAACCCAGGTTTGGTTCCGGGTTCAGCTTGGGTTTAAGAATTTTTGAATTGATAAAAAAAAATATTCTATATTTAAATCATATTTAAAAAACAAGACATAGATTTGGTATAAAAGATAAATTTTTTATTTTATTTAGAGGCAAAATATAGTAAAAAATACAAAGCATAGTCATGTATAGATTTAAAAAAATTTATTTAATTGTAATTCTTTAAATTAACAATATCCAAAATAATAATTTTTACTTTGACTTGTTCACTTTCATTTTCCTCTAATTAATAATGTTTGAGAAAAAGTTGAAAATTAAAAATAAATGGCGTAAATGAATTTAATTGTTTAAAATTTATTGACAATCCAATAGGAATCTTTGAGAATAAATTTTAAAAAATTTACAAATGGTGTAAATGAATTAAGTTGTTTAAAATTTATAAACAATTCTAATTGAAAATATTATAAAATGTCAAGTAAATTATTAGTATTTGTATTTACAATTATACAAATATCTTATATAAATTTAAACAATACACTAAACCCAGGTTCAAATAAATTTCCCAGGTTCGGTTTGGGGTTTTGAAAATTTTATAAACGGGGTTCATGTTTGGTTCAGGTTCAAAATTTTTTCCGAGTTTGGTTTGAACCCCTGTCTTAGCCAGATCCAAACAAAAATTTTTTTAGGGCCAGTAATATTTTAGATCATCATTATTTTCTATAAATATAATATATTTTGTTATTGTGTTTTATAGAACATATATTCATTCTCATATTTCCATTTTTCAACTTATGTTGCTAGCTAGCACAAAGTGATTGATATCTATATTAAATTATAAAAGGAACAGGAAATAAGTGAATTGACATTGACTAGTCAAATTAAAAGTGTTGTTATTCCTCACTTCTTATACGACCAATGGGCAGATTAGATAATTTTAAAAGTTATTATATATGGATTTCATATATTCGCTGAAAAATGATGTAAAATGCCAAATGGGTATATATTTTTTTAAAAAAACTAAGGCCGTAAAAAAATAAACCTGGCCAAATTTTTTTTTAAATAATAAGATAAAAAAAAATTTTTTTTTAAATCTCATCTGGGCTTAAAAATATAAAACCTGGGCCAAAATATTTTTTAAAAAAATATGGGTCCGAACGTGCTAATTGTAACTGCAGGTTTCTGATATAAACAAAAACATGATTTTAATGTAAAAAACTTTATTTACAAATATTTTACCTTTTTAAAACAATTATTTTTATTTAACCTTTTGTTTAAAAGTTATGTTTCTTATTTAACCATTTAATTTTTACAATGAAAGACTGGGGATAAGTTGCCTACTATTTGTGAATAACAAAAATAATTTAATACATATTTCACTATATATTTCTGTAAGTATTTTTTATACACTAAAAAATTAGGACTTAAGAAAAGAAAATAATATAACCAACTGGATTAAAATTTAGAGCTTAATATATATAATACACGTTAAAAAAAAAACTCTTCTCTAGATTCGTAATGTAGACTTCCATTTTTTATAAAATTTATCTTTAAATTTTTTATTCTTTATTAACATTTTATATTTAAAAATCCAAAAAAATTAAAATACTACAAATTTTTTATTTACATATATGTAATATTAAAATTACTTTATTAAGAAAACACAAATTGTAATGTATATAAAAAACTAGATTAAAAAAATATATATGAAAATTCCAAAATCAAATCACATAAATTTGAATTAAAAATCAAATGTATATAATAAAAAATAATGAATATATGAACGTATAAATAAAGTCTATATTAAAATGCGACAAAAGGAATATGAATAAAAAAAGAATACCAATGAAGAACAGGGATGATATAATGAGAGGAAAAAAAAGGATTTAGGTTATCTTGTTATAATTACTAAACTTTATTATTTTAAATCGGCTCAGACCCTTTTATATAAGAATTAAGCCAATTGGGCTTTTTTAAATTATTTTTTTTAATCCCAAACCTGATTTTTAAAAAATGTTTCCGGCATGTGATATTTCAATTATAATTTTATTTCTTTTTTAAAATATTCTCAAAAAAATAGTTCTGCAAACATTTCCAAAAAAATCGAACGTGTTAAAAGTTCATTGATAAAAACCTAACGCGTTCACCTTTCAAAGCGTTATGAATAAATTTTTTAAAAATATTTCATTTAATATAAATTATAAATACCATACATTTTTTAACAAAATTCATTAGCCATGTTTAAAATTAAGGATTCTTATTAATTTATAAAAACTTTTATATATCATATAAAATTTAATTATTTATAAAATAATAAATTTATACTACTTTAAATTGTGTTCAACTATTAATATATAAAACACTTGATAAAAACTTAAAAATAATATGAAATTTCATATAATCACTGAATAAATTCTAAAAGGTATCAACTATATATATATATATAATTAATATATAATATTTAATGATTTTTACTTTATATATCTATTATAATAATCGTAATAACTTAATAAGCCTATGAAAACAATCTAAAATAAATTATTAACAGACTTATAATTATTTTATATAAAATAATAAATATTACAATCAAGTATCTTTTTAAATTAGAACTTATTCTACATTTGGTAAGGACAAAATTAGTTTATTGAATATATGATGTTACTGTATAAGTATTTATTATGTTTGAGCCATGGTAATCATAAGCAGATGATGAAATAACAACATCCATGCTTACTCTAACCCAGTGTCTACATGAGCGGGGGGGGGAGGTAAGAACAGTTTGCATCCTAATATCTATAAAGGGGTAGGTGGTAGGGGGTAGGAATGTTGGGGGATAGGCTATAATAATCTAGAAAATTTCCCATTACATTTTTAAATTATCTATGGATAACATTTTGGTATTTTTAGGGGGGTAGATATATATTTTTGAGGGGGGTTTGCATCCAGTGAATATACTATCATGTAGACGCTGCTCTAACCTATAAATAATAATATTCAAATTAATAAAATCAAATAGGGGTTGGTTATAAAATTAAATATGATAAAGAAAATAGCTTATTAAAAAATAATTCATTTTTATAAAAAATTTGGATTAATATTTTTTATTTACAAATGAATAAAAATAAGAAGATTTTCTAAAATTGAACAATCGTAAAAAAACGAACGCGTTTATCAAATAAAAAAGGAACACGTTCACATTCAAAGTTCGTCTAAAATAAAAGGAAAGTCGTTTTTTTTTCACAAACGCGTTCTTTTACAACATTACAAGAAATAAGTCTTTGGTGGCCTATTGTAATTATTGTTACATTTTATAATATTTGGAAAATAAATGTCATTTATTTTTTTTAATGAAAATATATTTTTATTCCCTTTTCTTTTTTTATAACATCAACAAAACTTTTGTATATTTTTTTTAAAAATATATTTTAAATAGATATTTAATATTTAAATCAGTTAAACATATCCGTATATTTGCATTTCGTATCTTAACCTTTTTTGATACCCTTACCTTCTTATCATTATCATCTCCACTGCCCGTAAACTTCACTCATCTGATTCTTTGCCAAACCATCTTCCTTAACTATATAGGATAGTTAGTTGTATTATCGAACTGTATGTCTTTCCTTTAAATTTGTTAGGAAATCTAATCTTTTGTCAAAGAGCGCTTTTGATTTATCTACCTCAGACGTCCTTGGTTCATTTAATTTTTTTTATTTGTCTTTCAATGGTGACACCCATAAATTTACAGATTTCAACTTCCTATATCTTCCATACATTTATGTCGATGTTATTTGGTTCATCTCCACTTATTATCATTATACTCTTTTTTTACTTGTTAACCTTCAACCCTCTGTTTTTCTATTATAACTATCCAACTCGTCAATCTT